GATGCAAGTCCTACAGTGTTTTAGAGGCGCTTGATGGTTTTCAAAGAAATTTCACTTTTTCAATGAGGAAGGAAAAGTTAAAAAATGCTACAGTTGTGTTTACATTCATAATGCAGTAGTAGCAGTAGTAGCAACAGCAGCATTGGCAGTGGTCGGAAAGCAGCCTTTGGTTTCCCTGGCCAGATTGGGTTTGACCCAGTCTGCTTCCTGAAAATAGACTGTATACTTATGTAACAGAATTAGCCAAACAGGTTATCTTAGGAGCATAAGCATAGGTAGCGATAATAACAAATTTAGTATTGCTTGTATTAAGGGAACGGACAGGAGTGATATTGTTACGATAGGACATGCGTTATGGATTGTAAAACATGTTTTGGTATCACCCAACAAGTGATCGGTGTATAAGATCACGGCTTTATAACCATTTGGCGACCGGAGACCACTTTGTTGTCGCTAAGCTATTGAGCAGATTGTAGGGAGTCGAGTGTTTACTGCAACACAATGACTACCACGCGCTAAAAAGCCTGTTCTCATCACTCCGCATTCAGGCGTTTACAGCTACTTACGTGTTCATACCAAAATTTCATCCCAATTTCGGTTACTCAGTATATAATCCAGCAAATGATAAACACGAAAGGTTGTAACATACTGCCTTAGAGAAGAGACAGCGAGAGTTCATAGGTTATCTCGGTAGCATTCTGCTGACCTCATAGTTTTGACGTCATAATCGTGTCACGGCCAGATTCATTATAAAGGTCAACTCGAGGCCAGGACAGCTGGGGTGCTTTGACCGGGTTTTGCTGTGAATAGTTTTGATAGTCTAATGGCTACTATTTCCGCTGTTGCTAATGAGCGTTGTTATAGGAGCTTTGATCCAATCACTAACTGAATGAAGTAGTCTTCCTTAAACCGATGCCCTGATTCTCAGAGGTGAGCAACGACTACACTTCCCGCTGTTTCTATGTTGTTAGTACCAAGTCTTCATTCTCCGCAGCTTATGTAACTCACGACCCATGTGCGAGTAAACGAATAAGTAATCTTTGATGAGGTGAGAACGGACAGTTCATTTTCGGGATTCTTGTGTAGGGTTGCCATCGGATAAGTGCTAGTAATAGCCTTTTATAGTCATGGCTTGAGTGTCTGACTGCTCACACGCCTTTGAGAGGTTATCCTAAGAGAAACTATTTTGTTTTCGTTACCGTTCTTTCTGACGTATATTGTCTTTCCATGATATTCTTCTCAAAGAACCGTTCAGGCTGTATGTTGTTTCGAAGTGTTTGCTTGAGCTCCTCAAGTTCTTTCTATTTCTTTTAGTTGGAGCATATTCTGTAGGCTCTGACTGCTAGATATCTTACAAGATTCCTCTTGTACTGGACGGGGATGAAGCTGAACGGGTGCATCTGTTGACCGTTCTAATTTGGCTTGTGGTAGATAGAACGATACATTTTTCATCAGCCGCTTTTATCCACTGACCTCGAGAAAATTTAATAAGCAAAGCTACTCTTGTAACTGATTCTGAATGTGTGTCACTCAACATACACTGCACTTGCAAAATGGTTAGCTAAATTACTAAAGTCCGTTTGACTTAGTTTAATGAAGTGCAACGCACGAGATACATTCAGTTTTGTGAATGGCACTTGTGACTTCTACTTGACAGATCGAACAGTGCTCCCACTGGACGTTAATGCGCTTTTCGCCAATGTTCCTATTAGTTAAAAACGTAAATGCCTGTATAGTTATGTACAAAGTAACAATGGTGAGATAGGTCATCATTTGGAGAACCTGAAGCAACTGCTTTGTTTCTGCACGTACAAAATACGATTCACCAACCAGACTTATCGATAAAAAGTTGGTGCGGTCATTAGTTCATCAACAGGACCGCTGCTCGCTGGATTATTTAATAATAACCAAACTCGATAATAACCAACTTTTTCTCGTCCATTCCTAATGGTGGTCTGCACGCACTATATGTGTCAATAATGTTCTTCATGCGATCAACGCACAATCAGGAACAAACGAGCTATTGGATAACTTTAGAGTTGATCACCAGAACATAAAATGCATTTTATAACTGGAAAGAACGAACTGGCATTTCTGAACGTCTGTCTAAGTCTTAGTTCACGTTGCTCGGTGCAACGATCAGTGAATAGGAAGACGATTTGGTAGGGCCAATACATCCATTTCGGTATCTTTATAACATTCAGGTTGAGGAGGAATTTGGTGCGCTGCCTAATGGATAGAGCGAAAAAATTCTTCAGTGAAGACATAATACAAAAGGAGCTCCGGTTATCAGGAACTATCTTCATGCATGATGATTATCTGGAACGACAAGTTAGCAAGATGATCCAGTGCAGTGAAGATACTGAAAATAAAAATCTAGGTACGAAGGAAGTCGATGCACTGTGCCTTACCGTTCAAGTAGGTAGGTAAGGAAGGTAGATAAGTAGGTGTAATACAGGGCAGACTATCCGGTGCTGTTAGTGAGAACGTTTGTGCAACAAAGCTCAATTTATTGTTCACGTTCAAGCCAATTATGTGTCTACGACTGAAGGACAAAATGATCAACTCAGGGGACATCCACTGAAGTTGAAGACCCATAACAGCCACCTTGATTGCCGGTATCACTCGTTTGCATTCAGAGTGTGCGGCGTATGGAATTCTCTTCCATCTGATGTAATGTGTGCTCCTACAGTTGGACTATTGAAATCACAACTTGATAAAGCATTGGAACACTTAAAATTTCGATATCCGTGAGTGATCATGCGAACTGCTGTTTTTATCATTTTCTCCTCGTGAAGTTATTCAAAATATTCTGTAAAAATTCTATGGGGCATCATAAGCTTTAG